TTGACTTTTTAAAAGCTGAAACAGACCATGTTACTGGTTTTCTTTACTTAACAACATACCTAGTCATTTCATAAACATTTGCTGACCATTTTGTGTCATGTACCAGGCAAGGTGTTAGGAAAATAAGAGATGAGATATATATCCTTTGAATGGGAAGAGTTCAGAGTAAAGTAGGGGGAGGACACATAAATAAGGAAGCAAATATAAAAATAAACGCTAAGATAGGGATATGCACAGAGTTCTCTGGGAGCAAAAGGAGAAAATCAAACTTTCAATGATGGTCAGAGCCTCGATTTTCAAGTCACAGAAATCTGGATCTGTTCTTAACTCTGCCACCTAAACAGTTGTGTGACATGAGAGTCAAGGTTTTCTCATCTGTAAAATAGGATAATAACAGTTTCATCTGTTCCTTGTTGGGAGTAGATGAGACAAAAGTGCATAATATGGCAATACATTACAGACACTCAATAACAGGTGTATGACAGTCATAACAAGAGGGTATCTAGCCTGGGTCAGGAAGGCTTCCTGGAGGTGACTCTTGATCTGCATCTTGAATAGAAAGGGGAAGGAATCGAGATGGAACCTTAGAGAAAGGTTAATTTCCCATAGTATTGAGAACTTTTCACAATCCAGTCTCTACCTCTCTCAGCAATCTCATTCCTCTTAACTCTCCTTCTATCAAGGCTGGTTTACTCACTGACCTCAGACTATGCTTAACTTATTTTTTCTCTATTATTGCTTAGGCCATACCCATTCCTGAACAGCCTAAAGCTTCTCTATAAAACCAACATAAGTTCCACCTTCTTGTAATTGATTAGTTTAGACCTTATGAATGGCTCCATTCTTTGAACTTTTCCATCACAGGGTCAGATTAACACACTCCCCTCCATACTTCTTTTGTCCTCCCACTATGTACATGTTTGTCATAGTCTGTAACCATCTGCACCTTTGCACAGAGATTTAACTTTTTACATGTGAATGCCTTGTTTCCATTGAAATGTAATTTCCGTGAAGGCTAGACTTCATATAATCAAGAGAAAATAGGGCAAAGATATAGCACTTTAGTCTCAGATCTATTCGATACATGAAAGAACAGATCAGAAAACAGCAACAGTCTTGGGGTTAAGCATAAAGCATGTGACAGGTCTGTAGAAGCTCAAATGCCTGGACTTAATGGGGTTCCTTGTTTTTAGGTTCTCACCTTGACATGCCCTCAGCTCTATCAACAGCAAACTGTAAAATCTTTCCACGGTGGATTATGTTAAGTCATTTAAGATGCCTCATTCTGAGAATAAGACATGATATAACAAAATAAAGGTCAGGAGAAAGGTTAGCAGTCAACTCCTTAGATACAGCCACTATACTGAGAGGTAGTATATGGAACAGTAGAATCAACAGATCTGGGTTAAATTCTGGACTCTTAAAACTTACTGGCTTTATAACTTGGGCAAATCTTTTACCTCTCTGAGACGATTTTTCGGTTAATAATGTGGATTAATCACTTACCACTCAGGGTTGCTATGAAAATTAAATGAGTTAATACATATGTAAAGTAACTAGCACAGTGCCAGAAAGATAAGACTTGCTTAATTATTTATTATTAAAACATTATACCAATCCATTTATCCTCTGCAACACTTTTAAAAAGTAAAAAAATAGAGATTTTCTTCCTTCTTTAAAGACAGTATAACAGGAGCAACTTGCTGAAACCCACTGATGCCTCAGTCCTGAACAAGGAATCTGAATCCTAATACCCAGTGTGCAGTAGGGTTTATGGCAAATCTCTACCTGTTACAATGAAAAAAATCTAGATTAGATTCTTGTCATATTTCTTAAGAGTAACTTAGTCTTTCCAGAACTCTTAATTTAACAAAAGAAAAAGTAAGAGGCTTAGAGACTATTATCAAGCTGCACTTCCATAGAAAGAAAAGAGATAGTGTTCCCTAACATAAAAGGTGAATGCTTCAAACCTTTGAAGTCATTTGAGATTGTGAACATTGCCTTTGATGATTCTTCAAGCACCTACTGTTAGTCCAAAATGGCAAGAATCATAAAATAACATGTGAAATGGGCTAAAGGATCCTGAACTCTTGGAAGTGGAAGAAACCTCCAAAGTCATCTGGCCTAAGCCTCTCCTTACACAGTTGAGGAAGGTGGTATAGAAGAAGAGCCAAGCTACATGCCAAGCTTCTTTTGCCTCCCCAGATACTCACTTCATTATCCTAATTTTCCTAAGATTTCATTATTTCCCTCGCAGTAAGCAATATCAAACAGAATAGTTCATTTGCCTTGCAAAATTGGCCCAAACACTGGAATATCCAACACTTGCCCATGAGAGTACACTGGTACAAAAAAGCAAAGGGATATACATTCCTTTAGTTACTCAATTAAACTACCAGGTCCCTGCATAGGAAGCTGTACACAGACAAAGAGTGACGATACTGCCTACAAACAGAAATGCATACTGAGAACTAGAGGCTTTTCATAGCTCTTCTACAGAAAGATCTCTATGAGACTATCAAAATTACTGGAAGTTTCTAGTGGTGATAACTGACTTCTTCCCTTTGTATCTTCATGATGACACAGTGAGGAAAAACTGAATTTGACTGTGAGACTTCTTAGGAGTACCAAATACCAGATATCTAGCTCTGTGAAGTGATAAACAGAAACTTGATACCTTTTCTTGTTAACGGAACCAACCAAACTTCAAATGACTGACTTAATCAAAGTTCGTTTCAAAATATGTGGCCCTACTCTCCTAAAATTTTAAGTTTATCAACTTCTTTGAGTAAGACGTGAACATGCTTTGGAGAATTAAAGTCACCCAGTGAATAAATCAAATAGGTTTTGAATTAATGCACATACAATGCAGAAATTAAACCACTTTTAGGTGAAATATATTAGCTAATTATTTTTCTTCATTAGTCCCTTGAAATTTGTCCTAATTCCAATGATTCAGAAAAATGTTAACACTAGGAACTTTAGGTCTGCAAGAGCAAAAGGATCAGAAATTTTAGTGAATGGTGAGCTGAACATTAAGCAACACTGTTAGGCAAATACTACAAAAGGTGAAGTGATACCACGCTGCACTTTAAAAATATTTAGTGACTAGAACATGCAGGATAATCTCAGAGTTCTGCTTTCTTCTAGTTAGGAGATCCTAGAAACACTGCTGGGTGCCACAGCAAAAAGGCTATGTCAGAGTACCTTAAATTCCTAAGTAAGGGACAAGAATCGAACCCCAAACCACATCACAAGAGAGCTAATGCAATAACTAGAGATATTTAGGCTTCAGAAGGAAAAGACAGAACAGGAGTAGAACAACTAGATGCCTTTAAATATTTTTAGGGCAATTAGAAAAGAAGTACCATTGTTTTAATAGGCCCTAGAAGAAGAACAAGTACCAATGGATGAAAAGTAGAGAACAACAAATTTTGGTTTAATAATAAATTTCCATGTTAGCCTGAAAAATCAAAATTAAAGGGAAGATAAGAAATTTTCACAAAATAGGAAAAGTGAATCTAAGAGACTTGGGCATAAGAGCTTTTGACGAAAGTTTAGAAGCTCATATGGAGCATGACACTAACCATGCAGATTAGCAATGAATTATATTCTCATAAATCGACTTCCAATTTTTATAAGAAAGAAGGCAAAGTATGGATGATTCTGAAAACCGTATTTTATGGAGAACAATCTCTGAATGGTAGTCAAGCTATTGCAAAATGCTAGATGAAAAAAGATGATGGACTGTTCTAGGTAGTGGTGATGGGAACAGAAAAGAATGGAAGGCTTACAGAAACACTTCAGAGGTAGAGTTTACAGTACCTTATGATTCTTGGAATAACAGTATTTAGTGGGATTTACTGTGGTAATCTAGCCATTCATCTATTAACAATAACAGAAGCAATAGTAGCAATTACTTAGTGTTTACCACGCATCAGGTAATGTTCTAAATGTTTTACATAGATTAACTCATTTTTTTCTCATAACCCCATGAATTATCATGCACATTTTACTGAGGCTTACATCAGTAAAGTTGGTCAGAGAATAAATATCAAAGAACTAGTAGATTAGATACCAGATTTGGATTTACGTAATTCCAAAGCTAAAGCTCTGAATCGATACACTAGACAGCAAGAAAGGCAACAAAATTCAAGGCAGGCAGCACAGAGTAATAAGAGCCTGGTAGGTGCAGAGCATCAGGGGGAAGAGGGCTGTAGGGATGTGAGGAGTTGGCAGTATCAGTATCAGGTAACCACTATCTATGTCAAGAAACAGAAAATTGTTAGCACTCCAGAAGCATGATGCGCTTCTTTAAAAACGAAAGAAAGAAAAAAGAAAAAAAAATCCAAACAATAAAACATCGGCGTTGAATCGAAATTCCTAGAGATAGAATCTAGGAATTTACTTTTTTTTTTTTTTTTTTAAGCAAAACCAAAAAAACCTGGGTATATTTGAGGCAGAACCAGGTTTGGGAACTGCTGTAAAACGTGTTGAAGGTCTCTTTCTGCTTTAAAATTCTAACTGACACCATAAATGAATTTCCTAGAAATAAAAGCATGGGAGGAGATACTAGCACCAAGAAACCGGCTGTGCACTTACTGTCCACACCGTTTATACTCCCAATTTTACTAAACAGTCTCTCATAGGAACAGGTAGGTATAGAGCAGGCAATGGAATGACGGGTGTGATGTTCACGGTATGCTGGCTAAAAAGCAGGCTTTCTCCCAGGGTTTTCTGGTACCATCAGCCGAAAGGAAACCCGTCCTAACTGTGTATGTGGTATCCGACTCAAAAGTGAGGTGGATTCCTCAGGTCCATGTCTGGCTAACGACGGATGACAATATATTCTTTTACGTGCTCAGAAGCGTTGCAGGAAACCTCTAAGTTGAGGCCTGCGTGCTCCGAAGGCAAAAGAATCTGGCTCAGCAGAAGAGGTGTCTGCTCTGCAATTACACCTCAAGTACCCTACTCTCAGAGATGACCTGTTCCGCACATACCTGAGGGTCCTCTGGTAAGATTAATCTCTTCCTCTGTCACCAACTTCCATTCATCTTTTACTGCTTGTCTGGTTTCCCAGCTGAGTCAACTAGGGCTCGCACAGGTGAAGGTGAATCAATCTCCACGCGGCGCCCAAAACACAACGCTCTCGCTTTCAGCGGTCCTCTGACCGGAAGAGGAAGTCGAGAGCGCTGGGAGCGCCAGGAATGCTGGGAGTCGTAGGTCTGGCGCCGGACGCGTTGCGTTATCTCACCCAGTCCTCAAAACAAATTGTGAGGTGAGCAAAAAGCAAGGTACCATCTTAATTTACCCTTGGGGGTGAGAGAGGAAAGAATAATAAAGGTAAGAGACATAAATCAATTGATATTGTCGAAGAAAAATTAAAAATAAAATGTGCCAGCTCAGAAAATCTCCACAAATGTGGAAAAGGAAAAAGAGAGAGAGAGAGAGAGAGAGAGAGAGAGAGAGTGTGAGAGAGTGAGAGAGAGTGTGAGAGAGAGTGTGTGAGTATGAGAGCGAGAGCGCGAGCGAGCTCAATTATTCAGTAAGCATTAATCCAGACTGGGATGGATGTCTCAGGCAATCGGCTAATGCGATTGCAAAGGCAGACAGAACTGGCACCCTTTTTTTTATAGCCAAGGAGATAAAATTCATTCCGTGCATAGTCTCCTGTAAGAGGACTTAACAAACAAACGGTTTGCTATACCCTTCTTTGGTAAGTCGCCCTTGGAGTCGCCATCAGTGTTAGTTAATTGTCATTATCCAAAGGAAAAAGAAAACTTCTCTATCTCTATGACAAGCAGGTAATTACAGCTTGGAGCAAGACGCCTAGGGTAATAACTACATTGAAGTTAGGTGGAGCACTATCGTCCTTGATATTTACATTTCCAAAAGTTGGCTCCCAGGACGTGGAGAAAAAATTTGCTGAGTTGTACCTGACTCGGGGCTTGTTTAGCTTTAAAAAAGATTTACATACATATAAAAGGGACAGCGAAAGGATTTATAATTACAAAATTGCCCAAGAAAATCCTTTAAGGGAAGAGGGGTAGAGGTCTCAATTTTGGTGATAGGGAAAATTCAAACTTTAAAAAAAATTCTTACAGTAAGAATAGTGGATGAACTTCAAAATTTTCACATTCCAAGCAAGTAGTGAAGAAAAGTCAATGATCAGCCTTTATGGAGATCTCTTGGAAGTTTTATACACTTCTTTCTACCTCATTAGCCAGAAACTTGGTCTTATGGTTATATTTAACTATCAGGAAGGCCTAAATATGTTATATTTTAATGGGATGGAACTGTGCCAACTAAAAAAAAAAAAGGTTAATATTATAATTTAAAAGGTGAAACTGGGCCATTGGTAGCTTCTGAAACATGAAGACACTTTCTGAAACATGAAG